GGGGAGGGGGGAGGAGAACAAAAAAAAATCCAAAAAGATCCAAACTAACAATATACTTTCAAAACAATTTGCTTTGATTTTTTTATTCAAAACAACTTTGAATTTTACCTCAGTTTTTGTTTAAAAGGTTCTAAAACACCTCAAAGTGAAATGTCTCTGATTAATCCAAACTCATTTTTTACAACTTTTTAAGTTTCAGAAAAAATATGAGTCAAACAAAAATGTTCTCCCCTCTTTCGCCCCCTAGTTAGATCAATGAACAGCTCTAACCAGGATCCTATTGTGCTAGACACTGCACATACATAATATGTACATGGAAATCTTAATAAGAGTTCATAAACATAAAACTCTTACAAACTTCAAGACTTTGGGAGAATGTAGATATCTGCTCTCATAATGCAACTTGCAGGACTGGGACCTTATCTATGGTTTATCCAAGCAGCTTCTGTATGCATGCACACATGTGTGTGCATTTTACTACTCCATCTCCCGTCATCGTGCATATGTAACACTGACAGATGGAACCGAACAAACCTGGGATCTCTGGAGCTTAGTGCATGAGCCTCTTCAGATTGAGCTAAAAGTCAGCTCACTCTTAACTAAGGCTGTAGTACATGCTCATTCTTTCTCTATATAAGTGGTCTAAGTGTCACTACATGGGGACAGTGAACCACATCTAGTAGGTGCGTGTGTTACATATACAAGCAGTGTAACAAGCATTCAAAAAGCAGCCGTACCACTGTTGTTCAAATACCATGATGATGGGTGTGATGTAAGATCCTCAACTGGAGAATACAGAAACAGGATCTATTATAAAGTCCTATATATAGGAGTTCCCAACCTGCCAGGATTGTCCTGCAGTTTCTAGAAATTAACAAATTAACCTTTAATTAAAGAGTCTGTCACATGAAGAAAATTCTGGGAATACATCCAGCCAAAATTGGCAACCCCATATAAAATTAACAGAAGTATTGTGATAATCCAACTATCGCAAAAGTATTTATTTATACCCTATTTGTGATCATGCCATTAATTTATTTTACAAACCACACAGTAGAGATTTCAAGCCATTATCTAAACTGGATTTTGTGCTGTGCGTATGAAAATTAGCTCTCTCCATCCAGACCCATGACACCATTTTTCTCTGCAGCACTTCAAAAAGAAGCAGGAGGAGACTTGTGAAAAAGAGCTAACAGCATATCAAAGAAATGGAAATAACTAAAATAGAAGATTGAGTGGGATGCTATGCAATTTATATCACCGATGTTTGGGACACCACGTAAGCTTTGGCCACCCCTGAGTAAGACAATCACTCAAATTTCTGACTATAAAAAACTTCTATAGCACCTCACCCTGTCACATATTTAGAATTTTATATAGTAGCGAGAACAGTTGTAGTGGGAGGAGTAAAGCATTGGGATTCGGGATTCCTATGCACCAGCAGTTCTCAAACTGTGTGTAG